AAGAAGGAAGAAGGAAGGAAGGAGGGAAGAAAGGAAGGAAGGAAAGGAGGGGGAGAGAGGAAGAGAGGGAGGGAGGAAAGAAGGAGGGAAGGAGGGAAGGAAGGAGGTAGGGAAGGAGGGAGGAAGGGAAGGAGGGAGGAAGGAAAGAGGGAGGGAGGGAAGGAAGAAAAGAAGGAAGGAAGGAGAAGAGAAGAGAGGAGAGGAGAGGGGAGGAGAGGGAACAAAGAAGGAAGGAAAGAAGGAAGAAGGAAGAAAGGAAGGAAGGAAGGAAAGGAGGGGGAGGGAGGAAGGAAGGAGGGAGGGAAGGAAGGAAGGGGGGAAGGAATGAAGGAGGGAAGGAAAGAGGGAGGGAAGGAAGGAAGGAGGGAAGGAAGGAGGGAGGGAAGGAAGGAAGGAAAGAGGGAAGGCAGGAGGGAAGGAAGGACAGAAGGAAGGAGGAAAGGAAGGAAGGGAGGGAGGAAGGAAGAAAGGTGAGAGGGAGGAGGGAGGGAAGGAATAAAGGAAGGAAGGAAGGAAGGAGAAGAGAGGAGAGGAGAGAAGAAAGATGCTGTCTTTTTCTTACACTCCAGTTTATGCTTGTAAGATCTGATGACTCCCCACCAAGAATCCTACCAGTTTCCTTGGAACCTTTGCTCATGACAATTCAAGATGAGTGTTACACACTGGCGAAAGAGATCTGCATCTGGGGCCTTCCACTGAGCAACCCAGAGACTGCCAGACTTGTGAGTTACAGTTTTAAAAATATTTCTTCAAACCTTAGAATTGAATATAAGCATATTATATCATGTGTTCCAGCTGTAGTTCATGTGGTTGCTGACTGATATGCTACAAGGTTTTCTCTAAAACAAAACAAAAACCAACACTATATTTTAAGTTAAATATTTCAAACATTAAAATGGAGAAAATATTAGAACTGACATCCATGGACCCATGACCCAAATGTAATATATTTTTTAAAGGCTTAAAATTTGCAGGTATTGACAAATATATTATTACATATGCATGCATGTGTTTATTTACAAAGATGGAATTACACTGTGTATATGATTTCATGACTCACTCTTTTACTCACATTATGTTGTCAAGATTTCTCCATGTTTATAAATTTTGACTGCTATCATATCACACATAACCTTCATTCTTGAAAGATAGTTTTGCTGGGGATACAATTATAGATTAACTTTTTTTTTTTTTTTTTTGAGACAGAGTCTCACGGTGTTGCCCAAGCTGGAGTGCAGTGGCCTGATCTCAGCTCACTGCAACCTCCGCCTACTAGGTTCAAGCAATTCTCCTGCCTCAGCCTCCCCAGTACCTGGGATTATAGGCACCCACCACCACACTTGACTAATTTTTTTTTTTTTTTTTTTTTCGGAGTCTCGCTGTGTTGCCCAGGCTGGAGTGCAGTGGCACGATC